TGGAAATGAAGGAGAGTAAAGAAACCACAAGTGGTATCTCCATTTCACAGGGGAAGCAAATTGTTTTATGCGTGATCTCTGAATTTCACGCCTTGGTCAAAGAAACATTCTACCTCATGCTTTTGTTCCAGCTCAAACAGTGGTCGCAGACAGTGGGCGCCGCTTGCCCACAGGCATCTCGCTAGGAAATGCTGTGCAGATGTTGGGAAGGAGAAGCAGCCAAAGCAACCTCCTCTCCATTCAGAGTCAAGTTTCATCTCAGGACCCACAGGAGCCCTTCAAAGAGTCCTTCCCTTTGGGCTGAGTCACCCAGAAGGGAGAGAAATCAGTCTGACACCTGACTGGGCAAACTCCCCCCATGGCTGGGCATCACGGTTAGCAACCGCTGGGCTGTGATGCAGTAAGAACGCGGTTGCAGGAAGCACTAAGAATATGTTTGCCATCAATTTGCTGTATACACAATATGCTACCCGTGCAATCTTTCGTGTATGTAGTTGACCTTTATCTCTGGCAATCTTGTCCTATAAAGAAGAGTGAAATCCTCCATTGCAAATCATTAGCACTCAGGAAATGGCTTTAATTTGCATGCTGACAGAGATATTAACTCGGGGGACGGGGGTGGGTGGGAAATAATACAACACGTCCTTTTGTCTGAGAGGCAGTTCAGAAATCTGTGTTGTGACTACTGTTGACTGAAGTTCAATTACTGTAATAAATGTATTCCAAATTTCATCTCAATCGCATTTGCATTTTAATGAATGATTCTCACCTTCTTGTCAGTTTGGCAGCCAGGCTAGATTTATTAAGTTATTGTATAAACAGGGCATTCTAATGCAGGAATTTAAATGCAAAATATTTGCTCGGTGCGTTTGAACTGGGGCTGCGAGTTATTAATTTGCCCACCCTGGAGGATCTGAGGATGACGACTCAGTTCCCTCCATCCCATCGTGCTGTGCTCATCTCTCCACTCCCCCCCCCACCCCCCACCCTGCCTCTGGAATCCGTACATCTGGGTGGGCTGACACAGCAGGGTGCAAGGCAGCCGGGCTGAAACGGGCTGGCCAAGCCGCCAGCCTTCCGCATGCTGGGAATAAGCCGGTTTATTTTGCTATTATTTGAAGACAGTAAAATTTGTTAAGTGGAAATTTCCCATGTAGGCAATTCCCTTCTGCGAACGAGCAGGACATCCCCGAAATGGGCTCGCCAGGAGTGTTTGTCTTCGTGTCATGCTGCCTTCCCCGTCCAAGCACACTCAGCTTTTATCGTCCCATATTTCTCGTAAGCAGAGACCAAAAAAAAGTGAAACCCAGCTGGATGGAGAGCCATAATGCTATTACAAGTTCTGAGGGTTTTTTTTTCCCCAAAGTACATCTGGGCTGTTGGTTTTTAATGAAGTTTTGTGGGGTGCTTTGCTGTAGTTCATCCCATGCGCCCCACACCCCGTAATAGTAAGGTTGGCCATGAGCTCCTCTCCACACCTAGCGGGCTGCTTGCAAGGCCCCTGAGCACAGGGCTGGGACTGTCTGTCTCCGGTGAGCTCCAGCCCTGGGTTCCCTTGGGACCCCTGGGATGGAGTCTGGATGGGAGACTTGTTGCAAGCCCGGTGCCCTCCTGCCATACAGATCCGCCTAACAAGCCTCTCGGAGTCACTGATTGCTAGCAGGTGTCATAATTCTTATCTCCAACTTGCAGCCAGGGGACTAGGCTCCTAAATAAAGCCAGTTGGAAGATTTCTGCTTGGGTTTTTTTTTTTTTTTTTTCAAGGTGTGGAAAGCTGGCTAGACCAGTACACATCAGTCCGTATGTGAATCACCAATCCAGGATCCTGTTCAACATACAGGTTCAGCTTCAAGGAGTCTGGGGTAGGGCCCAAGATTCCGGGATTCTAACAAGTCCCCGGGTGCTCTGATGCAGCTGGGCCACGCCGGAGCAGCAGGCAACTAGAGGACTCCTCTTCAGGAGGAGATGCAAAGCTATAGTTGAAGGCTAATACGAATGGTTGTCAGAAGTCTGGGAGGCCAGCTGTGTGGATAAAACTAATCCCCCAGAAAGGCCTGGAGCTCCCCGAGCCTGTCGGAAAGTTGCTCAGAGGCTTAATCGGATCCACTAGCGACTTCTCAGGAGGAGGTATTAATTACATCACACTCCAGACTGCACCGCGATTTCTCTCAATATGTATGCTATCATGGCTGAGAAAGGCACGTTGCCCTCTGACCGCCAACGTGTTCACGGCTCTGGGCTTGGAATGCAGTGTTCGCCCTTCATTCTGTTGGCGTCCCTTTTGCTTCTTCATGACTCATACATAACTGTGCGTTTCTCCATGGATGATGTATTAGTCACCGAGACGCGTCCTAACAAGCTGCCCCCCACCCTGACACAGTGGTTTGCCGTCTGTAGTTCTTTCATGTTCACGTGCGCGTGGGCTGCCTTAGCGGTTGGCTGCTCAGGGCATGGGTTGCTCAGTGCAGAAAGATCGGTTCTGTGCCTCTGTCACCCTCCAGGGTCCTGTGAGCTTTGATGAGCATGGTTCTCGCGGATCCAACTGGGAAGGCTCAGCCCACGCATGCACTAACATCCCCTCAACCCAAGAAATCTCCTGGTCAAGTTCAAAGTCAGGGGCACTGGGCGATGGCTCCCATGCCTGAATGTGGGGGATGGGGATGTCCCTGCTTTGCCGCTTTCCAGCTGTTACGACCTTCCACACTGACTTAACCTTTTCCCCCTGTTTGCTCGTCTGTGACTCATTCCAGAGCTGACAGTCCCAACAGCAGCTCCCTGTGACTGAGACCTGTGCACTGGACACTCTACTAAGCTCTTGGTGCCCACCATCCCAGTGAGTCCTCCCAATAGCGCTTTGAGGCAGGGACTAACTTTTCGCCTGTGTGAAAACGAAGAAGACGCTGTGGGTCAGAGCGGATCCCAGTCTGTCTGACAGCGCGAAGGAGCCTGGAGCGGGGCCCAGAGCTACGTCAGGCACCATAAGTCCACTTCTGCATGTTCTCACTTCTCCCTGGAAGCAGATAAGTCTGTCCCACAGAGGTTGATAGTAGAACCAAGATCAGCAGAGGCTGGCGAGGGTAGGGCTGGAGAGACCATCGGTGCCTAACACGGAGGAGGAATAACTCCTAATGTGCTCGTGGGGCGACTTCAGTTGGCCACAGCTAACTGCCCACTGCAGAGCAGCTGATAAAGGATTCTGAATGTTCCCAGCACAAAGAGACAAGGAGCAACTGTGGCAGCGGAGATGGCCAGCACCCTAATGGACACCCAGTACCGCACGTGCATGCAGAGAGACGTCACACTGTACCCCATGGCTGTGTATGCTTGTTCTGTGTCAATTCAAATTAAAATGGGAAAGGCCTGTACACCTGTGCCAGAGCCTAACAAAGACCACTGCACACGTGCCCCTTGAGTCCCAAGGCACCTGGACTTCCAGCCCCAAGGAGCCCCGCATCTCCCAGTGCCCCTGACTTTGAACTCGACCAGGTAATCGTCGGGCGGCACTGAGCCCCCATCCGTCACTCATGGACACACATGCAGACTCCTATACAGAGAACACAGGTCCCTTTAAAAAGAAACTCAACCCCTCCCATACCTCTGCTGAGAGGGAGTTGTACTGGGTGGAGGAAGACTCCCAGTTTGTGATCTGCCCCTCCCCGCCGCCAGCCTGCGCAGTAATTATCTTACTCCCCATCATTCCCCGAGATGTTAGCCCAGGGAGTTCCCCACGTGCAAAGCAGGAAGCAGGAGGCCCTGGGTGAGTGGATTTAAAGGCAAAAACTGCTCTTCCTTGCAAATAGCTCCCTTCGCACAAATAGCCTGGTAATCAGCAATAATGATGAAGACGACGTAGGGGACATACAGGGCATTAAATGGGAATTTGCTAAAATATCAAGCATCCGTCAGTGGGCCTGTGTGGTACCGGGGGAGCAGTTCCAGACTCGCTGGGTGAACAGCCCACGGACCCGAGTTCCCGGGATAGACCTGTGTGTCTGACCCAGGGACCCAGATCCTCCCCAGCCCCGTGCACCCAGCAGGCAGATGTAGTGACTGGAGCTCTCAGCTGAAGAGAGGCTGAAATTCCACTGCAAAGCCAGCTTGCCAGCTTCCCCAGACGGCCCAACGTCAACTCCCCCGCGCCCTTTCTGCAGAATTCAGACAGGCAGGCAACCATCACTCCGTCTGCATCCGGGGCGCGTTGCAGACGGGGCTCTGCACGGCCAACTCCCTGTACAGATCTCTAAGAGAACAATGTGCTTCCTAGTCTCAGCACCAGGGGTAGCTCGGCAGCTTTTTAAAACATCCTGTGGCCATTAGGAATCACCTGAGGGTCAGATTTCCTTCTTTGCATTGGCCACCAGTGATGCTCAGGGCCAAATTTGTGTGCTAGCTCAGGTAACACAGATTTTGATACTTGTCTATCTTATTATGTTTTCTTGTTTTTGCTGTCTCCCACCTCTCTCTCTGTGTCTCTCTCTGTCTCTCTGTCTCCCTCTCTCTTTTCCACTAATCTTTTTTGGAATAAGGTCATCCGTAAGCAAAAGACAAGCAAAAAAATTCTTACCAATGTTTTACTACAAAAGTAACCGAGAGGGAGGACTATGACTCCCTTGAGGATGTGTTTATCTGTTTGACCCCAGTGTCTCAAACAGGACTTGACACAGAACACGTGCCCAACACAGAACTCACAAGGAGTTGTCTGATCCTGTGTGGTGTGCCCATTGACTCTCAGGGTGCTAGCAGGCAGCGTGTGCCCCTCAGTATTTGCTGATGATAGGATGATGGGATGATGGTGGTGCAGAGGGGCCGAGTGACTCATCCAGGGTCTCCGTTAGAAGGAAGTGGATCTAGAACTTAAACAAAGTCCATCTGACTTTGGGAAAGGTTCCCGCCCCGCAGTGGCGGCACTTCCCAAGATGGTGGGACGTCGTCTTAGCAGAACTCACCTTTGTTAGCTGCTTTTAAACGCCCCCGCCCTCTCTCTCCCCACCCGCCTCCAGTTTCCTGATCCAGGCCGTGAAGATAGGCCGTGGGTATTTTACCATCCTGAGGGAGGAGACGGCCATGAAGAAGAGGCAGCAGCAGCTTCAGAGACTGCAAGAGGAAGAAAGAAACAAGTTCCAGCCCGCCAAAAAAGTCTCAGAAATCCTCTACGGGGACTCCCTGTTGGTGTAAGTGTGTGGGGCGGCTGTGGCGCCGAGCACCCTGGGAAGGACCCTGGGGAGAGAGCCCTGCCCGGCTGGCTGGGAGCGGCAGCCGCTCTCCTGGAGCGGGGTCCCTTTCTCAGCCTCCACGCCTTCCTCTCCAACCTCACCTCTGATATCAGAAAATCTCCTGGAAATGTCTGTCCTCCTCCCCGCGCTCAGGGGCTGGTCCCTGAGCTTCTGACTTTCACCTTCCTAGACTTCTCCCATGCTGTTCCTTGGGCTATAAAATGCCCTTCCCTGCATTCTCTCTTTCTCTTCCAACTAAAGTTCTTTTTTTTTTTTTAATTGAAAGAGTTACAGAGAGAGAGAGAGAGAGAGAGAGAGATCTTCCAACCGCTGGTTTACTCCCCAGCTGGCTGCAACAGCCAGCCCTGGGCTAAGCGGAAGCCAGGAGCTTCATCCAAGTCTCCCATGTAGGTGCAGAGGTCCATCTTCCACTGCCTACCCAGGTACATTGGCAGGGAGCTGGATCTGAAGTGGAGCAGCCTGGACTTGAACTGATGCCCATATGGGATGCAGGCAGCGGCTTTACCTGCCACGCCACAGCGCTGCCCGTTCCCCCTGCCCCCACTAAAGTTCTCATCGTTAAACACCCAGCTTGGATGCTGCCCTTGGCAAACACTTCCTGGGTTTCACCCCAGCTGTCTCCTGGGCACATTTGTACACATTGTACCCTCCTGGGCACATTGTACCCATGACGTCCGTTGGTAGGCGAGTTTGCCCGATCACACATCAACGCCTCTGTTCTAAGCCCAGGCCAGCGTCTGCACAAAGCAAGTGCACCAACAGTGTGTGTCAGCGTGTTGAGTCAAGTAGGCCTCTTTTGGCAAAGGACCTGTGATTGGGGAACTCCATCAACAGACTGCTCCGCTGTGAAATGTTCTCCCAAATAATCGTAATCATAATTTTTTTTTTGACAGGCAGAGTGGACAGTGAGAGATAGACAGAAAGAAAGGTCTTCCTTTGCTGTTGGTTCACCCTCCAATGGCCGCCGTGGCCGGCGCACCATTCTGATCTGAAACCAGGAGCCAGGTGCAGGACCCAAGCACTTGGGCCATCCTCCACTGCACTCCCTGGCCACAGCAGAGAGCTGGCCTGGAAGAGGGGCAACTGGGACAGAATCCGGCGCCCCAACTGGGACTAGAGCCCGGTGTGCCAGCGCTGCAGGTGGAGGATTAGCCTAGTGAGCCGCGGCGCCGGCCGTAATCATAATTTAATCATAATCCAGGTTGAGCATCTCCAGTCCACAGATCCCAAAAACTCCCAAATCTGAAACTTTGTGAGTGCTCACGTGACGTCACAAGTGGGAAATTGCACACCTGACCTCAATACAATAGGCTGGAACACAATAAAAATAATTAGAAAATTAGCCCCAGATGATGTTATAGAGTAGCTATGAACCCCAAATGAATTTTGTGTTTGGACTTAAGTCTCATCCCTAAGATATATCATTATGTATAAGCAACTATTTCAAAGCCCCCCAAAATCCCAAATCTGAAACGCTCTGGTCCCCAGCGCTTCCAATGAATGATATCTGACCTGTAATGAGAACATCCAGGGCTGGCCTTTGGTACAGCGAGTTAAGCCCCTACTGGAACTCCAGTGTTCCACACTAGAGCAGCAGTTCAGGCCCCAGCTGCTCCACTTCCCATCCAGCTCCCTGCTAATGCGCCTGGGAGAGAAGCAGATGATGGCCCAAGTCCTTGGGCCCCTGCCACCCATAGGGGAGACCCAGGTGGAGTTCCAGGTTCTTGACTTTGGCCTGGCCCAGCCACGGACATTGCAGCCATTTGGGGAGTGAACCAGCAGGTGGAAGATCCTTCTCCCTCTGTCTCTCCCTCTAACTCCACCTTTCAAATAAACAAGATAAATTTCTTTAAAGATAGATAGCAACCATGACAATCAAAGTAGTGCTGCTAATGAGAGTTTGCTGAGTGCTTTATGCACATTTGCTCATCTAAACTTCCAATCATTGCTGTGAGAGAGGAGCTTGTTAGCGCTATTTGAGGGATTTAGGAATGAGGCTTAGAGATGTTCTCTCATTTCTCCCAGAGTTGTTCATTACAAAGCACCCCTGAGTATGAAACTCGGGGGTGCCAGAACTCCATGGACTGTGCCATGCAGTGTGACCCAAATTCGGGGACACTTGGCTTGTGCAGACTGAGTCACGTACGCCCCCGGATGCACGGGAGGTGCTGCAGGAGGCAGGGAGGAAACACACGGCAGAAGTGGCTGCCTTGTCGCCATGACCATGATGGAGCAGCCGCCCCGAGCCCAGCTGCCCGCTAGAATCACCCAGAGTTTTGTTAGAACAGCGATGGCCAGGCCACGTCCCCGGCCAGGCACTCCATGCTCTCGGCGGTGTCGCGTGTCCGCGGTATTTCCTGAAGTTTGCCGAGGCAGTCCCGGTGTGAAGTGTGTTTAAGTGCTGGTGTGTGGGACGGCCATGGCCGGGTTGCCTGTGCAAGTGGACCTGGAAGCCAGGGGAGAGACCCCCTCTTCTCTGTCCCGTCCCCCAAGTTCTGTAGGTGAAGACAAAACCTGGAAAGAACCTCTTGAGTTGTGACTTCTTTTTGTTATTATTTTCTGTTTATTTGAGAGAGAGAGAGAGAGAGAGAGAGAGAGAGAGAGAATCTCCTGTCTGCTGGTTCAGTGCCCAAATGCCCACAAAAGCCCAAATTATGCAGGGGCCAAAAGCCAGGAGCCAGAGACACGAGGCAGGTGTGGCACAGTGACAGCATCTGCTGCCTCCCAGGGCCCACATTGGCAGGAAGCCAGGTGCTTCTCCTGGTGTCCCATGGGGTGCAGGGCCCAAGCACTTGGGCCATCCTCCACTGCACTCCCGGGCCACAGCAGAGAGCTGGCCTGGAAGAGGGGCAACCGGGACAGAATCCGGCGCCCCGACCGGGACTAGAACCCGGTGTGCCGGCGCCGCAGGCGGAGGATTAGCCTAGTGAGCCGCGGCGCTGGCAGCCCTCGTGCCTTTTAAGTGGTTCAGGTGGAAGGAATGCTCCCTCTCGCCTGAGTGCAGCTTCTAATCCATGGTCCTAGAACCCAGCTCTCCCCAAGCCGAGCTGAGTTCCCGCGTGCGAGACTTTTATTCAAAGCTTAACAAGTTTAAATCTGCCTGAGATCGCCCCTCTCGTAGACAGGGCTGGCGCTCTCCTTGGGTAGGTTCTACGAGCTGTACAAGACTGGTCATTAAGATAAAACCAGAGGCCGTTCCTGCAACGTAGCCATCAGAGGCCGGGATGGACGCTGGCAGGGAGCAGGAGACTGTTGAGGCCAAGCCCCGTGGCCGATCAAGACTTGGATTTGAGTCCTGACATCCCCCATGCGGCCTTGTAGCTCTGGACAAATCCCCGTACGTCTAGATGAATGGCACCAAATTCCCAGGTGCGTGACAGGATTAAATGAAGGGCTGCTGAGCCCCGAGCCCAGGCTGTAGGTCAGGCTCCACGGCTGTTCGCTCTCACCATGCAGTAAACTAAGTTTGATCTCTTGAAGCCTCGATTAGCTAAAAGCCTTCATTTTAAGGCTAAAAACATTCATGTCCATGAAGGCCAGCAAGCGTCCCCCACCAAGAGCTGTGCCTCTGCAGATGTCATTCTAATCGCGAAAGTATCAAAGCTACAAGTGTTCATTTATAAATCTTTTTTTTTAAAGTAAAAACAGAGTATTTGATCTTCTGCGTTATAAGAGCAAAAGAGATTTTTTTTTTTTCTCCTTTGGATCTGAGACCAAGGAGTAAGTTCTTTCAGACAAAAGTGTTCAGTCTGACAAACTGTAGAGAGAAAAAAGAACCGGGCGTGTCCCCAGAGGTCCCTGCCTGCAAGCAGTCTCTCCCCCTGGGCTCCGTGACCTCATTTCTCCGCTGCAGATTCAGCGGAAAAGGTGAAAAAAGGAAGCCACGGGTAGAATTTGTTTTATTATTGTGGCTGAGAGAAGACATAAAACCCGAGATTAAGGAGTGTAAAAGCTGGGTTAACTCTTGCATATTCTAAACCGCTGGGAGACAAGGCTGAGGTTGAGCCAGCAAGATAAAGCACTGGGATGTATTTATTTGCTTTTTTTTTTTTTTTTTTTTTTTTTGCAGTGGGTTTGAATAGAGTCAATAAAAAGTGGACATTGGCACCGGACCCTGACCCCAGCTCTGTGTTAAGTCTGTGACCCCAGGGTTGTCCTTAAATTCCAGGGGGAAGGAAAACGCTTGTGTCCCTGCATCACTCCTGTGGCCCTCCCTGCTCGCCGCCCCCACACCATGCCAGAGTGATCTCTGCGAACTGTAACGTGCTCCCAGCTGTACACCCTTAATGGCGTCCCATTCCTCTGCAGAGTAAGGCAGAACCTGAGCAGGGCGTACAAGGCCCTGGGTGGACCGAGCCCTTGGCTTGCCCAGCCCCCCATCCCAGTCACACTCCCTTAGCACAGTGGAGCTGGTCACCTGCTGAGAACTTGGCTCTCTCCCCCTGAGGGCCCCCTTCACCGGCTGCTGCCAGTTTCCTCACAGCATGGAGTCCCTGACAGTCCCTGGAGCCCTGCCTCGGGCCACTTCTAGAACATTCCACCACATCAGCCAGTCACAGAGCCAAGATCCAAGGGGAAATGGATGTAGACCAAACTCCCTGTAGAAGGCTGTGTGTGCACCATGTGGTCTCCCGCTGAGCACCTACTCCCCCCACCCACCCCCAGGTCCTGTGTGTTTGAGCTGGCCATCTCCCCCACTACTGACCGTGGAGAGGCAGGGTCTGGCCCAGCCATTGCCACATCTGCAGCCCCCAGGAGGAGATGTTCAGTCACTATGGGTGGGGAGGAGTGAACCAGGGAAGTCGTCAATGATTCCACCCATGCAAGTGCTTAGGCTGGGACTCGGGGACTACAAGGCACCAGGAAACAGGCAGGGATTGGGGTTGGTTACGGAGGAGGGGAGTGAGGATCCAGGCACACGTGGACTGGGAGCAGCCCGTGAAAGTCGAGCCTTGTGCCAAGCTGGCGAGTGAGCGCCAGTCCTCAGCTCTGGCCGACCCCCACTGGTGGGAACGCAGGGCCCAGGGTGGCCAGAGCCTTGAAGCTTTTCCAGCTCTATGTGAAATCTCTCAACTTAAACATGTAAGGAACTGGAGCCGTGGCAAGTAAAGCGGCTGCCTGTGACGCTGGCAGCACATATGGGCACCAGCTCATATCCTGGCTGCTCCACTTCCTATTCAGCTCCCCGCTGATAGCCTGGGAGAGCAGTGGAGGATGGCCCAGGTGCCTGGGTCCTGGCCACCCGCATGGGAGACCCAGATGAAGCTCCTAGCTTGAACTTGAGTGTTGCAGCCACTTGGGGAGTAAACCAGCAGATGGAAGATCTCGCTTTCTTTCTCTCTATAACTCTTTCAAACAAATAAACCTTTATATTCACACACACACATATATAATCAGTTGATCCAGTTGTAGGCACACACAGTAGGCTAATTAAAACATGGCCTTGGATAACATATATAATATATATATATATAATTATCCACACACACATACACCCTATGATCCAGGCATACAAAAACCAAAAAAGAAACCATTTTGTATAACTGAAATGACTTGGTTCATGGTGGTCATTGAAAAACATTTAAATGTGGTGCTCAGTCGCTGTCTCTATTACACAGGCGAAAAGAACTCTCATCTGGCTCTTTAAGAAAGCATGCCTAACCCCTGGGGTGCTGTGCTGGTGTCCCCCACGATCCACCTGCTGATCTTGTCTACTCCCTTCACCCCTCCCACAGAACACACGCTACAGGGTTTTTCCTATGCTGTCTTCACCAACTGCATGGAGAACCCTCCTCACTCAGCTGGGCACGTTGCCTGGCAGGTGCTCATAGGATCCACCAAATAAGCTGTGGCCAGAAAAGAAGGTGTTGGCAGCAGCCACGGTCATTCACCCTGGGTCTGTGTTTCTGCTTTGCCTTCAGCACCCACGAAGAGAAGTTTAAGAAACTGGGGACCGGAGCTATACTTCGCCCATTCACCCCCGTCCATAGCTGCATCCTCTCCTCCTGGCTGCCAGAGGCTCACATGTGAGTAGTCTTCCCCGCCCGACCGTTTGCCTGGCTGGCTCGGGACTGCAGCCGAGCTGAAAAGACTCCACAAGCTAACGTGTCGGGAGCCACCGAGCTGCTCCTCCTTCCTCTCGAAAGGGGACATGAAGCCTGGGGCCAGCAAAGCTATTCAGTGTCCACAACTGGACACAGTGGCTCAGAGCTAAGTGGCAAATCAGCTGGAATTGAGTTATTCCATCCTCTACCAAGCCAGACGCTCTAATGTCAGATGGTTTGCAGAGCCTAGGAAGATCCGTCTGCAGCCCTCGCTGAGTGCGTTCAAGAACATCTTGGCCACGGTTCTGGGGGCAGGATTTCCTCCCCCTGCTCGAGGAGCTGTTCCCCAGTGAGGTCCCTGGAGTCTCCAGCCCACAGCATGAGCTCACTGATGCGTGGTCTCACGCCATCACCACTCACTTGTCTTCTCACCCCATGGCATCCTGCTCCCCTTGTGTCTATTCCAAAGAATGCCAAGTCCCGTGTTGCTTTCGTGCTAGTTGGCGCTTTGCAACTGACAGATTTTGGGCACGGAGATACAGGCTTTGGACTCTAGGGCAGAGCTGGTCAAGCTCAGGATCAGCAGTTCTTTCCCACGGAGGGTTACCCTGTGTATTGTGGATGTTTAGCAACACCCATGGCCTCTACCGTTCCATGCCACCAGCCCAGCCGCTTGGACCCAGCTGTGCTAGCAGCTGTGTTAGCTGTGGACAGGACCACAGATGCCCTGGGAGCAGAAGTACGCACTGCCCTTACCCCCATATGGAGCGCCCACATTGCTCGTATAGCTTTAAGGCAATGCGTTCTTTTGAGAATAATTCCTGTCGCTCCCCCACTCGTGGAGGAACGACACCGGACCCTGTGCTGTTCTCTTTCCCCGGCCCTTCCCGGGTTTGCTGCCGTTCCCCACCCCCCACCTCCGCAGAGGGGCAGCACCCCTGCCGCTTTCCCCGCTTCTGCAGAGGAGCGGCACACCGCTGGCCGGCTCTCTCAGGGGTTGCTCAGATGTTCCCGGTGCATGTTGTCTTTCTCCTCCTTTATAGTCCTCTTCCACCAATCCCAACTCTGCTGGCGTTCTCTCCCCACGTGCTGAGCACGCTGCTCTCCTCCAATCAGGAGCAGGATCAGCTCCTGCAGCTTGTTAGTTGAATTGGTGAGGCAGCTGTGTAGAAGTTGTTTACTCTTTCTCAGCGCCATATGATGGGAGATCAGATGCATAGAATTAGTCTTAGCAGTTCCAGTAATTTAGTCTAGTCTCAGTTGCTCTCCACAATTCCCCCTTTCTTTTTATTCTTTGGCGTTGATACGTGCCTGTCTTCGGTGCCCCGCGGCACATACTCTGCTCAGTTAGAGTTGCCCACAGGTGCTTATCACCCTACCAATCAGGCAAACCAAATCTGGGTCCTCTCATCGCCATGTTGTGGGGAGGCTTTTAGGTGCTGATGCGTGCCTGTGTTCAGTGTCCTGCGGCACATACTCTGCTCTGCTAGAGCTGCCCACAGGTGCTTATCGCCTTACTAATCAGGCAGACTGAATCCAAGCCCTCTCATCGCCATGTTGTGGGGAGGCCCTTTTTATTTCTCTATTTCTCTCTACCTCCGGGCATTCCTATTTCTCTTATTTTACTTCTATCTCCCTCCTATCTGTGTGGCTTCCCAGCTCCGCGCACGCTCCGTGGTCTCCGTGGCCTCCGCGGCCTCTGCACTCACCCCACACTTCTCTTATCTGCTTGCGCCCCACGCTCTCCACTCGCGACCCGTGCACTCTCTCTGCGCGCGGCAGCTTCCGTGAATCATGGCCTAGCTTACGTTTCCATTATAGTTTAGCTTCGGTCTTTGTTCCCCGGGCTAATCTGACGAATCCCAACCTAGCTTACGTCTCCGCTTCGGCCTACCCCCGTGGCTTCACTTTCCCTAGCTTATATTTTTCTCTCCCCGGTACTTTTCCTAGCTTTCTTCCAGCAATATTTCTCTTTCATTTCTCCTAGCTTCTCCCCGCAGTCCATATCCGACTCTAAGTTTCTTCTAGCTTACTTTCGCTTTCAATCTTAGATTTCTCCTAGCTTCTCCCCGCAGTCCGTATCCGAGTCTATGCCTAGGCTTTCGCTAGCTTCTTCCGGCACTTTTTCCATCCGGCTTTTCCCTAGGCTCTGCCTAGTCTCTCTCCAGTATTTTCCCACTTCTTCCCTCCTAGGTTTCATATCCGAGTCACGCACCATTATGTCGCTCCCCCACTCGCGGAGGAACGACACCAGACCCTGCGCTGTTCTCTTTCCCCGGCCCTTCCCGGGTTTGCTGCTGTTTCCCCCCACCTCCGTGGGGGAGTGGCACACCACCAGCCGGCTCTCTCAGGGGTTGCTCAGATGTTCCTCAGATGTTCCTGGTGCATGTTGTCTCTCTCCTCCTTTATAGTCCTCTTCCACCAATCCCAACTCTGCTGCCCACACGCCGAGCACGCTGCTCTCCTCCAATCAGGAGCAGGATCAGCTCCTGCAGCTTGTTAGTCGAATTGGTGAGGCAGCTGTGTAGAAGTTGTTTACTCTTTCTCAGTGCCATATGATGGGAGATCAGATGCATAGAATTAGTCTTAGCAGTTCCAGTAATTTAGTCTAGTATTGGTTGCTCTCCACAATTCCCACGTAGCAGTGCCTGTGTTCAGTACCCAGTTCCAGCTCCCAGCTCTCAGCTCCCAGGTCCCCTGTCCTGCTAAGGCAGACTCCAGGAGTGTGAGTGGTGATGGCTCAAGTAGTTGGGTTCCTGCCACTCTCTTGGGAGACCTGGATGGAGTTCCTGGCTCCTGGCTTTGCCCTCCTTGGCTGTCGCAGGCATCTGAGGAGTGAACCAGCGGATGGTTTCTGTATGTCCATTTTTCTCCTCTCTCTCCATCTCAAATGATTTGTTTAAAAAATAGGCTTTGGCCGGCACCACAGCTCAATAGGCTAATCTTCCACCTCGCGGTGCCAGCACACCAGGTTCTAGTCCCAGTTGGGGCGCTGGATTCTGTCCCTGTTGCCCCTCTTCCAGGCCAGCTCTCTGCTATGGTCCAGGAGTGCAGTGGAGGATGGCCCAAGTGCTTGGGCCCTGCACCCCATGGGAGACCAGGAGAAGCACCTGGCTCCTGCCTTCGGATCAGCACACCAGCCGTAGCAGCTTTTAGGGGGTAAACCAACAAAAGGAAGATCTTTCTCTCTGTCTCTCTCACTGTCTAACTCTGCCTATCAAAAAAAAATATAGGCTTTGCATTTCTTATAACGTCCCCTGGAAGCACACAGTGCTGCCCAGCCCCGTCGTGGACACGCCCTCGGAAACCAGGGCTCGCTCGCTGGCGTTCAGATCGTCTGGGGTGGGAGGAGCAGACACCTGGGGAAATGCACACTCCTGAGCCTCCCCTGTTCACCTGGCTGAGCACACTGAGGCCTAGGTCAGCTCTGCAGTGAGTGCAGACGGCTTCTTGTCCATCTCCCTTCCCTGCCCTGGGAGGAGGCGGAAGTCCTGACCTTTGACTGCTCTATCAGGCTTGTTGGAGGCGTCATCGTCATCATCATCATCACCACAGTGGGTGCTGGTATTGTTTGTCATGCCCTAGACCCAGGCTTAGCAAACTTTGCCTTCAAGGGCCATGCAGGAAGTCTTCTAAGCTTTGCAGACCAGATGCACTCCCTTTGCGTCTACTTAAGTTTGCCGTTATAGCCTGGGCTCTACCGTGAGGGTTTGTATGCCCTGTGTTCCACTAAACGGTTATTTACAAAAACCCACGCTGTTGGAAAGCTTGGGTTGCATTGGATGGCTGGTCAGGAGCCGATGGCTGTGTCACAGGTCCCCTCAACCTGGGGCGGCTCAGAACAGCCACATAGCATCATCTGCAAATCTACAGGTTGGCTGGTCGGGCCAGCTCCGTGATCCTGAATGGGTCTATTAGGTGTGGGCGCCCAACTGATGGGTGCGCTGGAGGTTGGCTGTCCCAGGATGGGCTCACCCACGAGTGAGTGGTTGCTTGCTTGGTTGGCTGAGTGACCGGTGGTGACTAGGATAACAGGGCGGCTCTGACATCAAGCAGGCCAGCCCAGGCCCGTTCCCATGGCAGTGAGTGACCACTGCAAGAATAGGCGCCTCCCAGAGCCTGTTGACGCTTGAGCTAGGAAGGACGCGGTGGCCTTCCCGCACACTGCTGACTCAGCAAGCCCCGGAGCCAGGGCTGGAGAAGGGGCTTCCCCTCCTGCAGGGGAAAAGGGGCAAAGTCACAATGAAAAGTGTGTACAGCAGGCGGCCCCGGGGAACAGGCGCTGTCTCATCAGTCTCCTGCTGGGTCAGCTCTCAGGTCCGTGGTCACTGCCAGCTAGGAGCCCACTCGCCCTCCCTCAGCCCCAGTGGCTCAGGTCCCATGCTGGCTAAGAGTTCTAGTGTGGGCACCAGTCCATCCAGGGGGAGACCCCACGTTGAGCTGTTCGCCGTCTTCCCCCAACACACACAGCCTTTTGTGAGTGTGGACAAAAGCAGTGTCTGCAACCCCCACCCCCACCCTCACCCCATCCAGGGTTGCCCTTGGCCAGCAGCTTGGGGGGCTGGAAACGACCTTGCAAATGTTCTCTGACTTCCCTTAGCAAAAGGAGAAGTGCTGTCTCCTTCCAGGAACGCCTCCGCCCACTGCCCCTCGGGTGGGCGCAGCAGGCAGGCGTGTCCACAGAGCGGGCTGTGCAGCTGCGTGACCGCGGGTGTCCACCCAGACTCCCGAGTTCAGGGCTCTCAGGAGCCTCCCTGTTCTGTTTTTCTGCCTGCTACACCCGGCCTCCAAGAAAGGAAATGCTTTCTTTGTAACTTGGTAAAAGTCCTGACACGGGCTCCTCGTGAGAAAGAGCCGATTCCCATCAAAGCGCGCTTCCGGGGACGGTTTCCTCTTTGGCCTGTTTCCCCATCGGTTAGATCACCGGGTCTGAGGCCAAGAAAGAGGTCCAGGCCCACGGGACGAAGCCCCATCCTGCCGAA